TTTCCCACTCTGAACATTTCTCCTTGACTGAGGATTAACATCTTGGTGTTCTTCTTTTCCATTCAAGTCTTCACTGCTGTCTTGGTTGTTATAATGACTATGCAAGGTAGTAGCAGCAACATTAGCATTGGCAGTTTCCTCAGATGTTTGTCGATGTACATTTCTACCAAAGGAGAAAAAAGGTGTGTAAGTTGCAGACATACCCAATTTTGCCTCTTTCCACAAAGCAAATTTGTAAAATATAAAATAAAAAGGCATGGAAATTGTTTTTAAAAATTAAAAGAAGAGCAGTACCTAGGTGTATGCTCTGGTGAAAAGTGGAGTCGAGGCACATGGGGAGGCACTACCTTTGTTGCTCCTTCTGCATGTGACTGACCATTTTCCTGCCTTGAAGATAATACAAAATGAAATGGGAACAGCAGCAGCCATAATCTACTAGAGATATATATAAAAATTCCTCATCATCAAAATGTATAAATATACTAAATAAATATAATTCATACCTAAAACACTTTGAATTATAATACTACATTCCTCACTTTGATATTACCCTATGGATTTACTCAGTATGCCTCTCACAGAAGATGAGCTTACTCCTCTGGCATCCTTCTCATTCTTTGATTCTTCTTCCTCACTAGTATCACATTCACATTCTGATTCAGTTTCTTCAATTGAGTGATGTGACATTTCCTCTTCACGACGTCGTAACCTGCAAGAAAAGACACAAGCAGATATGAAGCAGCTTCTAAAAATGATAGTTAATGCAATCTGCTCCTTTGAATACCGATATCACACTTAGAATACTAAGACTGATGATATTAACAAAAGGATGCCTACATAAGGGTATACAGAAGACTCTTAACCCTTAAGTATTTAACACTTGTGTATTTGCTTCCCTTTTTTTATGATGAAACCTTACAGAATAATAATGTAATATTGACAGATGCTGAATGCACTTTTCTAATGCTTGCCCTAGGGCCACATTGGAAAACACACAAATGCTCATAGTAACACTGATCTTGAATTGTAGCTATGATAATTTTTGCTGGCACCCAATTTTCCATTCATATTCATAAACAAATATGAATAACAATCACTTAATCATTACATTACTTCAGAATATTGTTATCAAAAGTGAAAAACCATCTCTGTTGCTCACACCATAAATGTCCTTTACTCACAGGTCACAGCCCATACCATTGTCATTTCTCACTATGACACGTCCTCGAAAAACATATCTTCCAACTGGGCCCTAGGGATAGGGGTCTAGGGGCTTTCCCCCCAGTAGAGAAATATCCCAGACACTTGTCCCCAGTAGTGGATTTGGAAGATAGATGTGTCTTCACATCCTTCAACCCCCTTTTCCCCTCAGGTCCCCCAAAACTGAAGGGTGTGGTGGAAGAAAAACACAAAAAAGTGGATGTCTTTGTTAGATTTACCTAAACAAAGTAAGAAAAATTAATTAAGGTAAACTGAGCCCTCATTATTGGGTATTATTGGAAAAAGGCGTCACCACTGAATCAACCAAAACTAACTTTATAGCCTTGAAGATATTTAATTATCAATCACTTTTCATTAAATAAACTTGTCTCGCAAATTAATAATAACAAAGTTATTTAATTATCAAAATAAATAAAAATACTTATAAAACAAGGTGAGATTCACACGGGAGCTGAGAAAATACCGACCAAATCCTCCACTGCGAACGCGTGGGCTCTATCGTACCCGTACTGTTCCTGTTATCTCGCCTGTGCATCACAGCCAGTGTCACGATTTCATTGATCAATTGTTTGGCAGTTAATTTAATAGCCAATGGGGAAAGAATTCACGAGGGAAACAGCCAATCAATGAACATTAGCTAAAACAGAAGCTATGAAATTCAATTTTCAAATTAGTCTTGCCATGACTTCCGTGTGTGTAGGATGGCGTATCAAACCATTCCAAGTTATAAAAAATTATTTTGATGACAATGAGGCTAGCTTGAAACTATTATGTGAACACGGAGTGCTACCTTCTGAAGTCGCATCGCTCGTACTCATGTAGACCTCTCCCATAAGCCGCTCCACTGATATCGAGGACCCTAACCCCGGCTCCTCCTCTGCATAAGTATGTTTTAGGTTTATTTTCACTGAAGTGACTAGATGTACAGTGCTTTACATGCGTACGAATGGCATGTGGAAAAGCCCGATGCCGACTTTATCCAACGCTTTCTCCTGCCAACAGGGGGGTCACAGGGGGCACAGCCCCCTGCAGTGTGTAATTTTCATACCTACGACCATCATGCAGGACCACCCAATGCAGAGTCTGTCCGACTCTGTCTCCTGCCATGAATACATGGAGGATTCTTTGTTTTCCTGGGCGGGAGTTGGGGAGCAGCAGCCATTAAACAATATAGTGACAATATATTAAACAATATAGTGACTTAATCGGTACCATGATTACAGCAGAGAATGAGATTTCCATAGTTCACATGCATGATATCAAGAGTGGTGTGACTCTG